CTAAATAAAGTAAATTTCATGAAAAAAAAATAGGAGAGGCTTCAGCTAAGCAATAAGGATGTTTGCAAGGACTGACCTCAAGGGTAGACCACTGCGGTCTGCATGGATAGTTTATCTTGTGGGCACACATTACAGAAAGGGTGAGTAATCACAGCTTTCAACTGGCCACTTACACGTATTGGTCTGGAGACACAGGAGTCTGTCTGGAACGTGACAGGGAAAGTTGATGGTGGGAATGCGTGGAGTCAGTGGTTTACAGGGGTGGCATCGCTCACACGGTGGGAGGAAGAAAGGTTTTTGATTAATTGGTTGATTTCAAGGGCTTATTTTCTTAACACTGGTACTCCTTTAAAATGATTGCTGAATTCATTTTGATCTCTTGTCACTGTCTCCTTTTGCTGAATTTTGCTTCAGATGCTTCTTCTACTTCTTTTGGGTGGGGGGAGGGCGCGTCAAGACAAATAGCACTGCTGGAATTAAAGCTTGTTTTGTATAAACAATCTTGGGAAAAACTGCCCCTTATAATAAGAAATTACAGAAAGCTAATGACATCTGCAGGGGGCGGGAAGGAAGCAGAAAGTGGAAAGCCATTTCATATTTCTGCATCTTTGCCATTTGATTGGGTTTTCTCTCACAACAACTCGAAATCGCTGCTTGTTTTATTTGTCCTTGCATTTCTCAGAACCTTTCTACTGTCTGTGCTTAGAAAATGTAAGCATGGTGATGTTTCATAAACTTATTTTCTCCAGTTTGTTAATTTTCCAGGTCCTGGGAGCTCGTAGAAGTGTTACGCGATGTTCCCAATTTCTAAGTATAATTATTTATTTGCCAGGATATTGAGAATTATACAGGATCATTTTGTACCACACTGAGGTGGGGACGGGGGAGTGACCAGGTGGAAAGGTCAACAGAGGTCAAGACTACATGGATGCCACATGCCTATGAGTAAAAGAAGGGAGGTGGACTGCCTTCCTGTGTTCCCTCCCACCTGCTCAGTAGCTGAACTTTGCCCATGAGAGCAGCATATCTGTGGTTCGATTCCATATTATTCACTAAGCCGCAGATACAAAAATGACCATGACTTGCTCTCAAGAATACTTTTCCTTAAGGAGATTATACTCTCTAGTGAAGACACAGGTTTTGAAATCTACTAAAAGGAAAATACCCTTTCTGAAGATGTCCAACTCTTTAAGATATTATTAGCCATTCTATTCTTTAGAATGGACATATGGCTGTATCATTACCCTTTGTGAGATCCTAATTTGAAAAGGAAATAGTAATAGACTTTAGATGTCTAGAGGATGACAGAGCAGGAAAGGGCAGGGGAAGAGAGGGAAAGAGAACCTAAGGGAATATAAATGGATAAACGAACAGCGGTGGAAGCTAGGAATTGTCAGCATGCTTCAAAATTTGCAATAGCAATGGACCGTGTAGTTGACCACCTGTCATTAACACCCCACCAGAAAATTCCATCCATTGTATTTCTCCTTCCACCTGATGAAATTCCCCCAGAATTGAAATACAGAGAAGTTTGCAATAGATATTAAATATAAGTAAAATCCACAGTGGTGGATCCATTCTGATCCACTAGTATCACCAAAGGAAGGTATTATCTGTTCACAGACCTGGGAAATGGGGAAGCTCTGTCTCCCAGCCATATAAACCTCTTCCCTGGGTCTGCAGTTCGGGTCCTCTGGAGTCTTCCCAGCCTTTCCTCTATCTGAAGGAGTTGACTCTGGCTGGTCTAGCAAAGTCAGCCCATCTAGATAAGAAGTGAAATCCTCCATCCCACTGCCAGATGTGTCATCTATGAGAAGACAAAACAGCTGGCCTGCTCGAATAATTAAGTTGCTGGCAGGAATTGCTCAGCTTTCTTAAAGGAAGGAATGGAAGGCACCCTGCAGAGTAAGCTGGGATCTTTGAAGCTCAAAGAAAAGACTGTGTGGATATTCAGGTTGGAAAACAGGAATCACAGGGAGGAAGCAAGTTTGTCTTGCCTCACCTTGCCAGAATCTCGAGCTGGCCCCCAGCGCACAGGTTGACTCCTCTTCTTTGGAAAGGGGTAAGTGAAGCCAAATCCACATGCATTTACATTTCCAAAGCAGTCCCAAAGGACAATCATTCTAATGGTGCTGAGTATATCTGGGAGGTCACTGGGGCTTTCAAAGGCTCTTCATCTCAACAGTCTCACAGGAGGGGCAATTCTTTCCAGTTAAACATTTTTTAAAAAGAAACAAAACATATAGAACAAGCACCCAGAGAGGACAGGTGACATTGTCTGAGCTCAAGACCATAAGGATTCCTTCAGGTAAGTGATGATAGAAAAGACCTCAGGCTTCTCTCAGTTGGGCGCTCCCTTTATAGATTATGTCTCCTGACAACAGGACAGGCACATACTTCCTTGTGTTGAATAGGAGATGTGAGCTTGCCTTAAGATGCTGTGAGCCCTGCAGCTGCTACTCAAGTCGTCAGTTCCAATATCTGATTTGCCATACCTTAAATTCTGTTCCAGAAGATTAAGAGCAAATCTCATGTAGTGAAGATGTCAGTGTAGAATTAAGCTCAGTTTCTGACTGCGGGAAGATGCGAGTGGAATTCCCTTGGAGCTAGAAATGCTAGTTTCCTGATTTGCGACTGATGGCGTTTCTTTTCAGAAAATAGACCTTTCAACATTTATGAAGCCAAACAATACTTTTAAAGAAAAAAGAAATAATTGAACAAATAAGCAAAAGAATGATAATCAGGATAGGATACAGATCTAGAGAAACCTTCATTTCAATTCTGCTTCTGTCCTTATTACTGTGTAGTTTTGGGCAAACGACTTAAAATCTCTCTGAGTCTTGGTTTCCTCATATGTAACACAAGGAAACAAACATCTATCCCCTAAGCAGGAAGACTGTCAAGATCGAATGAGGTGTCTTAGCTCTGGCTGCCATTAAAAAAATAAATAAATAAATCATAGACTGGGTGCTTAAACAAGAGAAATTAATTTATCACAGTTCTCAGGGCTGAAAGCCTGAGATTAGGCTACCAGCATGGCCAGGTTCTGGTGAGGGTCTTCTTTTGGCTTGTAGACAACCAACTGCTTGCTGTTTTCACATGGCAGAGAAAGAGAGCGAGCTCTCTCTGGTGGCTCTTTATAGAAGGGCCCATAGTACTATCATGACCCATGGGATCAGGGACCTGCCCTCACAATGTGATCGAACCCTAATTAATTCCCAAAGCCCCATCTCCAAATACCATCACAATGGGGCTCAGGGCTTCAACATGTGAACTCTGGGGGGAGCACATTCAGTCCACAACACGAGGTAACCTATGCCGGGCCTTAAGTAAGCATTCCTGCTGTTTTGTTTTGGATATTATAATTTGGCCCAGGATGGACAAGACATCTAGTTGTGAGAACATCTTCAGGAGCTGATACATTAAAATAATTGACAATTCATTGACATTTCAACAATAAATAAATATCTCCAAGTGATGTTTTCGAGGAAAAGCCAGAATATCCAGAAAAAGTTGAGAATTCAACTATACCATCTTTATTTAAAGACTCAGTTAAAATCCACACATATTCATGAGTAGATTCAATTCCTTGGAAGAGATATTTCACAGCCGTTAATTCCAGAGGCTTGGATAATGTGTAGTGTACCATATTTTCCAAAATGCAGTACAATGAGCACCAGACTTTTGCATGTGTCCATGTCTAACAGTATACCCTTGAGTTTTGTAAGCTATCTGGGTCTCTGTTGTCAGATCCCTCCGGCCTATGAAGGGTTGTTATAGGTATTAGGAATCTTATACAAAAAGCTACTAGCATAGTGCCTGGCACATAAAAGGGTCACAATAAATGGAGCTCTAATTACTGAGCTGCTGGTGGAAAATCTGGCATTTAGTCCTAACCTTGAGATCTTGGGCAAGTCATTGAAGCTCTCTGATTCTCAGCTGAACAAACATCTCTTTGAGTTCTCAGTTGAGACTTGGGAGCCAGATTTCTTGGTTCTGGCATTTACTAGCTGTTTCACTATAGGCCAAGTTATTTAACTTTTTTACACCTCAGGTTCCTTGACTATAAAATGGGAATAATAGAACTGTTGCAGGGAATAAATGGGCATGCCTACCCCCAGAAAGAACTCATGATGTGCTGTCGATCATTATTATAGATAAAGAGATGGCGGTGCAGAGCAGGGTGGTTAGGTCACACGAGCTGATAGGTAGTCAAGCTAGGAGTTGAGTCCAGGGGGTCTAACACCAGAGCCTATGCCCTTACCTTCTATATCACACTCATTCTTTCTTTCTTTCTTTAATTTTTGCATTATTTTAGCACTCAAAGCCTCTCCATAAAGCCCACATGCACAATGTCTTTCGCAATTTGGTGGTAGGAAAAGCTTTGTCTCTCGCCAGAAACTAGTATGTTTCCCCTTTTTAAAAATGAGAATTACACAACTTATCATGTGTTCTTTTTTGTCTTGGCTGCCAGGAAGCTCAGAGCCAAATGATTTTGTTTAATCACAGCCACTAGATTGTTTCCTTCTTCTTATATCTTTGTTCCTTAATTTCCCTTTTAATTCCCTTTTTGCTAACATTTTCATTTTTGTCTCTTGTTGATAGAGGCCTTAAAGGTATTTGGAAAGTGGTGGGGTTGACATAGGCAAATAAAAATCTGAAATAAACATTAAAAATTGTAGTTTTGAGCCTTACCTGTTTCACTTGCTCTAAGAAAAATAGTCAATGGGAAATTTAAAAGAAAGAATTAAAGGGCTATTTTAAAGTAGAAAAGAGAGAACCAACAGAAAAACAGAATGACCAACGTTAACAGAGGCCAAGTTAAAAGAAAACTGCAATAAATATGTCTGAGGCTAGAAGTGTTTGTGCTTCCCCTGGCTGGAACCTATCATTTCTTAATTATATCCTGTGTGTGTTTTGCAAGATGTGAGTTGCTGTCAAGAGGAGGGACGGCCTCAGACAGGGGAGGGGCCCTGGCCCGCCCCTCGGTCCTCACATACCTGTACAGAAGTGAAATCCCCCGAGGCACAGGCACCCAGAATAGCAGCGCCCACAAGAACAGATTCCACCTCTTGCGACAGGACCACAGGCATGCCTGCGCAGGACAAGGCCACACCTTGGTTAGAGAGCAGGGCTGGGGGTAGTGTGGGGTGCCAGCCTGCAGCCCTAGCGGCAAAAACTCTGGACGTCAAGGCAGTAGCAGGCGCCCCCTCTCTAACCTTCCCCAAAGTTCCCTGTTCCTTGGGATTACCTGCTTCTAGATTTCACTGCCTGTGCCTGCTGGGGTGGTAGCCCAGGACTCCTAGGGAGCCAACACCATATGCATCAACTCATGAGACCTTGGTGCCCGGGTTTTCCAGGCTTCGGCAAGCTGCTACCTGCCATTTGGTTCAAGTTCAGTTCAACAAATGTTTTATTAAGTGCTTTGCTGGCCCGGGGAACACTGGGATGAATCAGACTGTGTCTCAGAGGGGAGATGGATGAGAGAGATAAGGTCTGTGTAGGGGGTTGCTTCTCTAACCGAGAGAAGGGAAGTAGCAAAGAGGGTGGGATTCATCCTCCTGGGGCTTCCCACCTCACTCAGAGTGCAAGCTGCAGCCCTTCAGGGGCTGACAAGGGGCCGCCCTCCTGGATCTGGCCCCAGTGCTCTGGGGCTGATCTCCTGCCCTCCTCCCAGTGAGGCTGTCCTGGCCTCCTTGCTATTTCTTGAGTATGCTCCAGGGCCCTTGCCCATGCTGTTCCCTGTCTGGAACACTTCCTCCCAGACACCCGCGTGGTAACTGCCACCCCTCCCCAGTGAGCCCTCCCCAGCCTTCCAATTTCAAACTACAACCTCCCCTCAACACCTTACCCCCTGCTCTACTTCTCCCTAGTTTCCAGCGCTGCATTTTACTCACTTGTCTTGTTGAGTGTCTGTCTCCCCTGCCAGAACTTAAGCTCCTTGAGGGGAGGGACTTGGTTTTGTCTACTGCTGTATCCTGGCATTTCAACCAGTACCTAGCACAGGGCAAGTGACTAAATGATGAGAGAAGGAATTTCTGGGGCAGCGGTCATTCCAGGGGAGATGAGGCTTAAACAGGCATCCGAGTGGTGAGTCGAGGTCCCAGGCAGGGAGAAGCCCTCCACATGCTTCCAGGGCCTGAGGGTTCACGTGGGTTTAAGATTAATGGAAATAATTTGGGATTCTTAGGATTTCAATATATGTGTGTGTGTGTGTGTGTGTGTTTGTGTGTATATACCGCCCTCCAAATACCATCTATCTATCTGCTCATCAGGAGATGGCAGCAAATTCCACAGAGGTAAGATCTGTGGTGTAAAATCTTCCTCTCCTCAAGACATAAAAGTTACTTTTCCAAAGACGGATTTCTCTTCCTATCTTGCCCGTGAGGACTTCCCTGACACACACTTCCACATCCCATCACCTCCTCGCTCATCTCCTTCCTTCAGGGCTGGCTCAGCTGCCCCAGCTACCCCAAAGGGGACAGGGAACAGAATACAGCCCCCCAAGAGGACGCCAGCCCCTACACTGCTGGGCCAGAGCTTGGGCCTTTGCTGACAAGGTACCAGGTGGGATAGGGGCTCTGGGAAATGCTCAGACCTGGGTTTGTTTCTGGTTCCACTAGCTCTGCCCTTCAGCACGTCACTCATACTCTTAGCCTTGGTTTCCCTATATGCAAAATGCGGATGGAGATAAGACGTACGGCACGAGCGTGTCGTGAGCATTAGTGAGAGGGCGCATGTGCGGTGCTTAGCACATTTCCTGGCCGATGGTAAGCCCTGGAGACACGGCTGCTGCTGCTGTTAGAATTAAGAGCCATGTGAGCGAAGCGTCTGCACCCGCATTTCACCCGGGCTGGAAACTGGACCAGAGGGGAAAGGACAGGGCAGCTTCCCATCGACCACTCCGACGGGAAGCAGAGACACGGGCCGTGCTGGCCCTATCAGGGGAGGGCACTTCCCAGGGATGGTGCAGACATGACTGTGACTGTGCCTACCCAAGCTTCCCCGGAGGCCTGGGATGTTGGAAAAGGCAGTACGTCCAAATGCCATTTACTTCCCAGGTCCTCCTCACTCTGCCAGAGCGTCCCTAGTTCTGACAAGGGAAGGGCTACTTGAAGGCCCCTCCCTTTGGGAGCCAGAGACCAGAGTGAACCTGGGGGTCCCTTATCAGCTCTCAAGTTGCAGCCCAAAGTGCTCTAGAACCAGACTGCCCAGGGTTTAAGTGCTGGCTTCCTCACTGGCTTAGCTGTGTGATCCTATGCAAGTTACCTAACCTTTCTGTGCCTCAGTTTTCTTATCTGCAAAATGGGGTTAAAATTCCACCTATGTTCATAGCGTTGCTGAGAGGATTAAAAGTGCTGTTGTAAGTATGGGATTTAAAACAGTGCTTGACTTAGAGAAAGTACCAAATTAGCATTAGCCGTTATGATTCTTAAAGTTTACCTTACCTCTGAAGTCTCTCCTCACACCTATTACCCTGGGTGGACCAACCCACTGCTTCCATTTGCCCTACAGACCCACCACCCCTCCCCTTTTCCTCCTCCCACCTGCCCTGAGCCCTGGGAGACTGGCCTGTGGGGACCACATCTGTGCCCTCCCTGTAACCCTGCTCCCCGATACATCCTCGACTAGGCTCCTGCTGGGCTGCCCTCTTCATGTAGCCCTTCAGTCTCAGGTTGGGCTCTGCCCGGTGCCTTCACCCTGCAAGCCCAGGGGTGAAAACACTGTTAGTATCCCCAAGGCACTTACTGGTTGTCTGGGTTTCCTACACCCTGCCCACACCTCTGTAAATAGACCCTTTATTCAACTTTTCTCCAGTTAACCCAATTTGAATGTGTTCCCTGCCTGGACCTGACTGATACTGACACCTCTGTCCTCTGGGTCCCCACTCTACTCTGTCTGGATATTGGTCAGAGGACCAAGGGTACTTTTTCTGTGTTTTATAACGAACCTCTTGGCAGGAGATTATTGTTCTTCTTTGTATTCCTGTGCCAAGCTCAGGACTTGGCAGGCTGGTATGCTCAGAGAATGCTTTTGAGTGAATAAATGAATGAATAAATGATTAAAAATAATGAATAAGACAAGAAGAGGGAAACCCCTACTGAAACTGCCAGTATTGAAAACAAAATTTAGAAGAAGGAACATTTAGTCCCAAGTAAGTGGGGAAAACCTACAATTACTTAGTACACACCATGTATTTTTTGTAACCACAGCTAACTAAGTGGCCAGGGTACAAGGAGGTTCTTCTGTCTCATGTAAACATTTTCCAAGTTGGCAAAGCCCCCTTTTCCTTGCTTGCATGGAGCAGTCTGTTCCCAAAATGACAAGACTCGCTTACAAAATGTTAAACTGCTTTTTTTCTCAAACGCGCCTTCTCCTTTGTGGCATGGTGCTACCTGGAGGAATGAAGTGAACTAACATTTATTGATCATCTCCTTTGAGCCAGGCACAGAGCTCGGTGCTCACAAACGTGCGAACTTTCATTTCTCAGCAAGCACAGACTACATATGTGAGATGGGAACATTTCTGTTTTCCAGAGGCGGGAACTGAAGCTCAGAGAGGTACAGCAACTTGCGCAAAGTCACAGGGCTGGTCTCTTGCTTTTTCCGCTATTCCACACTATCTCAAAAAAATTCTTCCACATTCCATCGTGCTTTTTCACATGTATTTCTGAGAATCACGTACCAGGTCTACGATCCTCCCTAAGTCCTTCTTTGTAGGAAAACTAGAGCAAATGCAATGTTTAAAGGCACCAAAGGTACTACCTATATACAGGCTACTGTGTACGTGCCTTTTACAGGGACAAATGCAAATGTGTTCTTTTCCCCGGAGTGCTGGGTGAAGGAGAGGAAGAGGGCAGCTTCGCTTGGAATGTGAACTATTTTATCTGATGCATTAATGAGTTTAGCAGAACCCAAAGCATTCAAAGGCAGATGCACTTTGCCACCGCTTGTCAGTCACAGGCTTCCAAAGGCAGAGGAATTCCAGGCCAAAGAAAAGGTCCCTTTGTCTGGAACTGTAACTGGTCCATAGTTAGAGACAAAGGGTCCAGTTTCAATCCGAATCCAAATAACCATTAACAGCGTTTTCATTCAACAGCCTGGAGGAGAACAGTTTCCAAAGCAGAACTTTCTGTGACGCCGCTGCACCCCCCTGCTTCTGAGTCAGCTCGGCCATGTCATGCCTGGAGGACGACCCATTTTCACCAAGGCCAGAGCGGCAGTGTCCAATCCCCGCCCCGTCTGCTCTGCCTGTTTCCCATTCCCTTGGGTGGTATGTTGCTCAAAGCTGACTTTCATCTTCCCTCCTGCATTCAGGTAGGAAGTCTTTTTGGCTAGTAGTAGGCTTCAGATTTTAAGTTTGAACCTTACCTGAACCAGCCAGCTGCTTTTTAGATAAGATATAGTTATAGTTTTTCTCCTGGAGAAAATCATAAGTAATTGGGACTCTTTTTATGTCTTTTCTCTTTCAGATGAGCCCAGGAAAGTAGGTGCATCATCAAATGGAACAAACTGGGCAGAAGAGTCAAGAGACCTGGGTCAGTGGCACAGCACAGAGGAGTGCTGGGCCCACACCTGCCTCGGTTACAATCCTGGGCCTGCCCCTCACTGGCTGTTTGACTTTGGAACGTCCATCTAATTCACCTCCCTGATCCTTAGTGTGCTTGTCTGCAAGACAGGAGCACCGATTTCTATACTACCTTTTGGCAGTATGTGAGGATTAAATGTATGTAGAGTGATTCACACTGACACAGACTAGGCGCTTGGTTAATGGCAGTCATTTCTGTACTTCACAACCTGATAGCTCTACCCTTAGACTGCACACTTTTCTTACTGCCCTCTGACTGTGCCTCAGTCTACTTGTCTATAATATGGAGGTAAGTGATTTATTTAGTTTTAACTCAAAAGGTGCAAAGATCACCCATGTCCGTAGTGTTAGACAAGGCTCTCATCTACAGAAATCTTGTGGCCTGGGGGGGCAGGGGGATGTGATGGGGCAGAGACTCTGATCCATACAGCTGCTAGAGGTAAGGAAGTCAGGAGACAGGCGACATCAAGGGGACATGATGAGTGGAGGCCTAAGTAAGGTGGGCTCAGATCAGACTGGAGCTGGGGCTGGGGGCAGGGTCCAATCTACCCCTACTTCCTTCCCCTTGCCCTGTCCTGGTACCTGGCCACTCAGGGATGGGCTCTGGGAGGGAACACCAGTCCACAAGTGATGCTGGGGAGCAAGGGGCAAGAGGGGTGACGGCACCAGGTGCAGAGAGACAGACATCCAGGCCAGCCTCTGTGACACCAACAAGCCTCCTGTCAATGGGGCCCCTTCTTTGGGGCCCAGGGGCTCCACTAGGATCCTGCTCTGCCACTGTTTGCCTGTATCACAAAGAGCTCAGTCCCTTACTCTGGATTCCCTCCATCTGTGTCATGATCCCTAATTCTGACGAGCTGAGAAGAAATCACAGAATCTCAGGGGTGTAGGCTTAAATTCCCCAGTTTGCAGCCGGACCCACGTTTCCCACAGCATCTGGGCTCTGCATTCTTTCTTCAAGACGGCTTCCTTATCGCTTCTCCCAGACCACATGCCCCGGGCTATCACAGGTCCAAAACTAGGTGAGGGGTCCCACCGTGTTTCCACAATACCCTGAGCTTTTCTCACTCAAGCGCTTGTCACACTGTATTTGTCTGTTTGCTGTTTGCCGTCTTCAATAGACTTTGAGCTCCTTGGGATAAGAATCATGTCTTGCTCATCTCTGTATCTCCGACACAATGTCTGAATCAGGAGTGGCACTCAAAACTGCTGAGTAAATGAATGAATGAAGATCTAGCCCTTGCCCACCTCTCTTGTCTCATTTCTTACCATCATTCAATAGTTGGATATACATGGAAGTCACTTTTCCTGTCATTAATATAAAGACTTCACAATTATCTTGATAATCTGGCGCACCACCCATATCCTCCCATTCTCATCTTGCCCAGCACTTGGCCACACCCATTTGCTATCAAGCCTAAATTGGCCTTCTCTCTTCCTCCCCACACTTACCAGTGATGTCCGCGTGCATTTGCACAAAAAGGGGATTCTTGCTCAGGCCTCCACACAAAAAAAGAGTACTGATAGAGTGCCCTGCAGCCTCCATGGCCTCTATAATGAAGCGGGTCCCGAACTTAAAGGGAAAAATAGAAGAAAGCATTAGTATGGTAGCGAAAGTAAATAACAGGGAACATTTACTAAGTGTTTATTCCGTGCTAGACACTGCAATAAGAGCTTCACATACACTATCTCAGAAAGTGGAGACCCAGAGAGATTTTATGTCCTATGATCACACAGTTAATTAAATTGCAGAGTGGGAATTCCAACCTGGGCCTGCCCGACCCCAAACCCCTCTTAATTACTACACCAGTTGCTTCTATCAGTAGTTATCCAACACTGACAAAAACAGTAGACAATGTCAACACAGTTTATATTAACACAGTTCATTTAAACAAATATTTGAGGAGTGTCTACTGTGGCCTGGGCCCTCTGTTAGGTAGTGGAAATGGAGTGATTGCAACACTGCTCTGAAATTAACAGTCAGTGGTACCTGGGTCAGTTTTCCTTCACCAATGGGAACTAACGACCTTTTCCTTAACAAAGGCACCAAAAAGCCCAGCAGCAGAAACATGGAAAGAGGGCTCTAGTTACATAAAGAAGGCGAGATACAAGGCGTCCGGCTGGCAAAGGGCTGATATTGCCATTGTTATCACCTAAAACCAGGTAGTGGTTTTCTAATAAGACGACTTCTGAGCCAGAGTCTATTCCCGTCAGTCCTTAATGACCTGCAATGATGCAGAAATCACATGCTCTGGACGGCTCAGGGCTTCACCATATTTTCAATCCAGCCCTTGTGTCTTAACACCTTCCTAAAATGCATTATTCTCATCCCTGTCTTGCTAAGTTTACCATACTCAGTAAAAGTCATTATTGTTTGAGAAGAGGATACTATCTCAGAGTCATGGAGGTGAATCTTAACATATAATTCTTTAGCTTTAGGTAGAATATTCAGATGGCTGAAAATTATAATTTATTTGAAAGTTCAAAAAACTATTAATAGAAGTTCAAAAATCATAATTTACTTGGGGTAAGGCTTAAAAAAATGATGAACTGTGACATGGCCTTACAGAGGCAGCCACATGGTGCCATTTGAGAAACATGAGGAATGGATGGAGAGGCTGAGAATGTTTAGAGTTGGAGCGAATTCTGGGAAATGGGGAAGCTCCTAGGTATGGACATGGGAGCATTAGTATGGTAGCAAAAGTAAATGGCAGGGAACATTTACTAAGTGTTTTGGGAGTGAACGGCTAAAGTGGAGGGAAGAGAGGGTCAGAAGAGATCTGGGAGGCCAAAATGTCTCCAGAGATGGCATGACCACCAAGAAGAAGAAGGTATATCTCGGGCTGGAGAGAAGATACAAGCCAATATCACGGTTTTTAGAGAAAGTGTGACTGTGTTGTGGGGTTGGTACCCAAGTGCGCAGAGAGGGAGAAGAGGTAGTTTAGCTTGAGGGCAAGAAGGAACAGAAGTTTGGCCACAGTAAGGAATAGGGTTCGGAAAGTCAGGAGGATGTTGCCCTGATCTCTGGTCCCAGGTGGGCAGGGATGCAGGGCAGGTGAAGCCTCCTTCGAGGAGGCTGTCTGGAGAGCTGTCTTCCCAGGGAGTGTGGGTGGGAGTGGTCAGAGGGTGATCTGGGGACCGTAGGACATGAAATAGCAATTGCTCTGGAGTAAATGATGAAAAACAGCAGCAGTTCAGAAGTAAAAGGCAGCAGTTCTAGCCCAGAGGTCTTTAGGGTTTGCTGAAGCTATTCATGAATCTGGTAAAAATATGGATTAGGTAAAACTTGGGCTGCCAAAGACAGTCCACAGATGTAGTGTGTTAAAAAAAATTAAAACATGTTGTACCATATAAGGCCAGATCCTGCTTGCTGACTACGGCTGATTACCCCCAGATGTTCTTTTTTAAGCTTTTTGGGGGGTCATGAACCCCCTTGAGAATACGATAAAACATATTGACCTCCCCAGAAAAACAGTCACCTACACAATAGTATTATAGATAATTTTAGGAAGTCTACAGATGCCCTTAAGTCCAACATGGATCATTTGATGCTGGTGGATTCTAGGCAACCCTGGTCTACTCTAGGGGTATGAATCTGTTATAGCTAAGAGCACGACATTTGAATGAAAAAAACCTAAGTTGGCATTCAGGCACTTCACGTATTTCTTGTGCCTAACCTTTCTATGACTCAATTCTCATTTTTTGAGTGGGAATAATAACACCATATTCATTCAGTTAAAAATTCTATGGATTGTCAGAAATGTTACCATGCAAAAAAATTAAAAATTTCATCTTAGACTTGATAAAATACAGTAATACCTACCTCACAAGGTTGCTGCTGTAGGCAGCATATGTAAAACTTGCAGAAGAAAGTCCAGCCTATGGAAGGTGCTTACAAATGAAAGCTATTCTGGTCACCAGCTACATGCTAGGCACCCTGCTATGCATGTTAATGTCATCTCCAATCCCAAGGCAAATGTGAAAACTGCCTATTGTTATCCCCACTTAGGAGATATATAATTTGACTAAGGCAATACAGTCTGTATGGGAGGGAAAGTAGCTGTCTTCTAATCTGTATGGAAATGCCATGTAAAACTGATATTTCTGGTATTTCTAAAACCAGGGATCTAGGACCATGTGATTAGCAGTCCGGACACAAGGGTAATACAAAGCACATTTCCTGGGAAAACGAAAGAAATGATCCTAATAAGAGGCACTCCCTTGAGAGGGGCTGTGACAGCCTGTCTCTCCCATGTGTGGCATTGTAGGCTAGAATTTCCCACTCGGCCAGCGGTTTGTTACACGGCATTCCCTTTTGGTGTCCCAGACTCCACTCTGTATAATGCTCCACCCTACTGAAATGTCCCACCAAAGGGCTTTGTACAAAAATGATTTTGTGCTCACCTTTCTGGAAAAAATGTTTTCACAGAGAAATTTAAATTAAAATTAGGCTATTCCACTGGGAATGCACAGAACCAAATGCAAATCAAGAGACTTCAAATGCAAATAGTACTTTTTAAGGGTCTGTTCTGCAAAGAAAACTATAGATGCACAGACTATGGATAAACTGGGTGGTTGACAGGTCTTTCAATTAAGCGTGATCAAGAGAGAATTTTACTTCACGGCGGGTTTCGCACAGTCCCAAGTTAACTTCATTGCAATCTTGCCTAAATTTCATTCCATCCATACAAAATACCAACCATACATATTACTACAGAGAGAAAGGAATTTGTTTAACTTTAACTAACCACCAACAAATAGATGCTAAGGCAATATTCAGGGCCAATGAAACAAACAAAAAAATTTTCCAAGTTGAACATTATGGAAAAATATCTGTTGTCAGCATGCCTCATTAAAATGTACATTTTTGCCTAAAAGATCAGCATGTCTGGATACTTTTGCAAAACAGACTGAACCCCTCACCATTCAACTGACACCACAATAAAGCCTCATCGAAAAATCTCTGTCTTAAAATGCCTTTCCTTTGTGGTATTATAAAGGTCATTAAGACAATGGACAGAATAAATATGATAGCTTTTAATACATGTACGGCCCATTAAATACAAGATTGATTTTCCAAGTGTGTGGTACTTGGGAAAATGTAGCTGGCTTGCCCCCTCCCCCTCTGCCTGCATTAAGTTTAACCTCATTTATACATTCCTGGACTTCTGTTCAGTATTCTTACCAGGAAAGGCACCTCTGTGAAACAATCCCAGGCCAAATTAATGATATTTTCTCACATGTGTTAAGTAAAAAACTGTTCTCGGGAATGCCTGAAAGCTTATTTTATCCATGCAGCTTTTAGAAACAGATCAAAGAAAAAGGCAGCATGGAAAAGCAGAAGGAGCAGGAGCCTGGGAGTGAGAGGTTTAGAGGTTCAAATTCCAACTACCATGCACTAGCTGTTTGACCTTGGCAAATGGTCTTCCCCCGTTTGTAAAATGAGAACAAACCCATCTACTTACAGGGTTACTGTTCTAAGCTACAGGTAGGTAAGGCACTCTGTTTGGTGCCTGGCACAAAGTCAGTGTCTGCTGAAAGGTAATAATCATTACCAACACGCGATGGTGCCCCTTGGCCCATCTTGTTTGGCCTTGTCCTTCATGTCCTCTTAGCATGTGCTCAGAAGGGAGAGAGCATCACGCAGCTCTGATTATCCAGGATTATTCATTTCAATGTAAGTGATTGGTTATATTATAAGGCTTTTCATATAACAAACCATATCAGAGAGTAAAATTTCCTCGATACAGTCATGTGTCACTTAACGATTCTGGGAAATGCATCATTAGGAGATTTTGTCATGCAAACATCACAGAGTATATACACTCACAAACCTGGATGGTACAGCCTACTACATAGCTAGGCTATATGGTATAGCCCATTGCCCCCAGGCTAGAAGCCTGTACAGCATATTACTGTGCTGAATACTGTAGGCAACTGTAAACAATGGTGAGCATGTATGTATCTGAACATATCTAAAAATAGAAAGGTACAGTAAAAATACAGTATTGTAATTTCACGGGACCACGATCGTACATGCAGTCCCTTGTTGACCGAATGTCATTATGCCATGTGTGACTGTACTTCATACATCTCATTTTATTTTAGAAAGCCGCGTTCAAATCTCAGCTCTGCCATGTACTAGCTATATGACCCTGAGCAAGTTACCACAAGGAAGCTTAGGTTTCTAATATGTGGAATGAGGATTATACTATCTACCTCATAAGGTTAAATCAGATAATGTGTATAAAATATTTAGCACAGTGCCTGGTACATAATAAATACCCCCAAACTCTATTTATTATTACCACCACCATCATTATCATTTTATTATCCATAAAACAGGATAATTGAATAATTCTCTTTACTACTGATACATACTTCTGTTCTCTGTTTTCCTCTTACTATTAATTTCCTCCATTTTGACGGACGTCATTGTCTGTTTTTGACCACGTTTCCATGCATAAAGCTGCCTGATTGATTTCACTGAACTGGCCAAGCTATTAAATCAATAAGAATGTTGCTTCAGGAAGATACTATCAACCCAGTCTATAATCTAAAAGGATTATTGAATCAAGTTGGCCAATTCCATACTTGCATGCTGTTGCAATAAAGAAGGTATATTTCTTTAGTATTATGAGTATTATTATTATTTGGGAAATTTCATTCTTTATTATAAATACATAGCACCTGGATGATTCTGAGCATTAAAAAAAGCACTCTCATTGATGATATGAATAAATATGCATGTAGTTCCATTATTTAAAGTAATGAGGTTATACAGTTATATGGACAAACAGAATAATTCAATATTATATATGTACTTACAGCATTAACAGACAGAAATATTTGTTTAAATAGGTGTCACTGAAAAATAAATGTTGAATCAAAATTTAGGGCATTGATTTTTCTTTTCTGTTGGTTCCCATTCTCTTTCCAAAAGTGGCTAAGCCTCACTGCATTAACAATTATTTTGGGGTACCTACCTGCTTTGAGACCCTGAAAGCCACGACCCACTCTCCCACTTTGGAACATGTACACATGTACAACCTTTTGCATGTGATTTCCAGGTTTAGAATCCTTTAGCAGCCCACCCATAGATCACCTCTAGATAAGAAGAGTGATTCCTTAGACAATGTTTGAGCTTTTAGGATTTTTGTTTCTATTTTTGATTTATCTTTAGACACTCCTAACATTTTAGAATTAAATTCACCCCTTCCTCCCTAACCATCCTAACCTCTCATTTAAGCAGCTAATTATCTAAAAACACACACTTTCATGTTGTAAGGAAGCTTACTATTTAAAGGAACCCTATAATGAATCCTTTTGCAAAAGAACAATTATCATGTGTTTTATAAATTCGGACATCCTTAATACCAATTTTTCCCAATGTAAGCATACATGGCATCTGCTTGCTTACTATTATTTAATTAACTTTAGAAGACAAATCAGATGAATGACAAGTATAATATTCAAAGACTTTAACTCCTTTCCACTTTTAGTTATGTGAGGTTATTAGTTAAAGCAGGTAAGGATCTCCATCAACATTCTGAACATTCAAGCATCTCCTTTTTGCAAGCTCCTTTTTAATTAAGAATCTCTGTCATAAAAGCATATTATGTGTCTTGGGGAACAAGTGGCACAGAGCATATTGACAGCCCTAAGTCTCTTTAAAAATGTCATTACAGTGTCTTACAGCAATGGCTTGAACTGTGGCCAGGTAGAGAATAGCAAGATCGTCAAGGTCCTGAGACAGTTTCAATCCAGTGACCTGGAGGGATGGAGAAAAAAAACAAGAAGGAGATGGTCAAAAGGAGCTGCCATGGATAGAGATAGTTCCCATGAAACACGTTCAGATGTGTTTTCTCACCGAAACAAGTTCATATGCAAATCCCCTTTTTGTGAGCTGAACGTGAAATGCCTACTAAATTGTTTAATCTCCAGACTTGGGAAAAACTATCCCTTCCTCCCCCAAAGAAAAATGCCTTGTCCTTAGATTAAACAAAAATGGAATAAAATAAACACCATAGGAAGACTGTGTTTGATATTTCTTAACATAGAATTAAATACCTTTGTATTAAAAAAAATGCCCTTTTCTTATAAATACCTATTTTCTGTGGCTTACAAGAAATCAACATGTAACAGGGGCATTCTAGTACAAGATGATATGATTTGAGTCCTACTACTGTCAGAATTCAGTGTAACGGTGCCTAAGGGGTATTCAGGGTAAAGTAATATGTCTCCTATAAATATTATACCTACAAGGGGATAATTTAGAATCTGTGGTTTGCAAGGGAATCTCATTAAAGTCAATCAGAATCATATGCTTATATGGAATATGTCAGTCTCTGAGAGATTCCAGAACTGAACAGGATGCTGGATTGGAATGCCTTCAAGGCTTGTTCACAGTCCCACCTTCACGTCTCTCATTCACCAAGGTGTTGTCTCAGGACATTTCTAGAAGATGAAAGATGCTGGTTTCTCCAAGCCTAGCTTGAAGATTGTGGGCATCAATACTAGAGCTCACTTTAGACTCACGTTATAAAATTAATTCACACAACACGCATTTACTCAGCTCCTATGATGTGCATGGTCCCGAGCTCAGCCAGGTGTGGGCATGCTGTCTGCATCAGAACAGGGGAGCTGAGTGGTCTACTGAGGTCCTTTCCTTCACCTCCAGCCCCATTTAATTATTCTCTCCAGATTCCGCCCCCAGCTAGGATTGGCATATTGCAGGGCACACACACCATTCAGTGGCCCAAACCAGAAACCTGGGGGCCCTCTTTCTTGAATCCTCCCTATGCAGATTTTATCAATCCCTAAGTCTTGTACATTTGATCTCCCCAAACTTTTCCAAATCCATCTTTTCTTCATCCTCATGGTCATTCACTTCCTTAATTCAGACCACTGTTAAGCCTTTCCTAATTGCTGAGAAAACCCCTGAGCAAATCTCCCTCTCTCTAATTGTGCTCCTCTCTGCAATGGAGCCAGACCGATTGTTCTCAAATGCAAATCTGGTCCTGTCACTCCCTGTTACAACTTCTCCCATGGCCTCTTTTCGCAATGGGAATGCCTTCACCGCCTCCTGCACCTCTCCTGGGCCGGCCTTCACTCGCTTCCCAGCCTCTCCTCTTGTCCTTCCTCGCTCAGCGTCCCCTGCTCTGGCTTCCCAATGACTCACCTACATCTGTGAAGGAGAGGATTCTTCAATTCAGCGGAGCTACCCGCTGCTAGTTTTTCTTGGCAAATAACAGGACAATCAGACAAGAACTATGGCTTTGAATTTAACACACAGGAAGATATAAAATTTGAATAAGAGACCAGAGAGGAACTCTGGGGATGTATCTTCTGAAGCGAGTAACTGTAAAAGAATATCCCTCAGGAAGTTCCCTGGAGAGCTAGATACAGGGGAAGAATTCTGGAAGTAGGAGAGAACATGAACAATGCTGACATTACAGAACTGCATTTCACAGGTGAGGAAATAACTTGCCTAAGGGAACGCAGAGAATGGAAACCCGAACCTGGGTATTCTGGCAGACTTGGTCTTATTCACTGGAGTATCTCAGATGCCTAGCACTGTGTCTGGCACATAGTAGGCACTAAGTTAATACTGCTGAATGTGTGGACTAGTGACAATTCAATGCTCCTTTTCACCTTTTGGACATGACTCTCTCTCCTAATGTCCTATCCTTCTTTGTAGAATTCTACAATTAGAGGTGGACAATATTTACTAACTCGGCTCCTCACCCATTCACAGAGGAGGGAACACTTGCACCATGCCCCAAAGAAAAGAGCACTGGAAGAACACTTTCAGACACTCACGCCATGCTCCCTCGCTTACCCTTCCTCATCAGAGGAAGTGGGGTCCCTGTGGCTCATACACAGCCTTTGTGTGAATCAGAGGAAGGCACCCTCATCTGAGAGAATGAATTATAAAAAGGTACAGAGCAAATAGGATTTCAGCCCAGTCATAACCCTCCTCAGTGAAACACCTTGTGGGAACCACCTGCGCCATGGCAGACATGGTCCTGAGGCGGTGAGGATCACTAGTCATGTTGGTTTCTCTCTCTCTCCTGTGCTGGCCTCTGCTGCTGGTCTATCCAGGAAGCTGACTGGGCCACGGCTTAGAGCGCCCCTCCAGAGCCAGTCCAGGAGGCCACCTCCCTCTGCGTTCCTCTCTGGTTATCACTGGGAAGTGGTTAGGCCATGGGCCACAGATGGGCCCTGAAAACCCAATTTGGACAATTTGTGATGGGGGTAGGGGTGAAATTTGGCTTTGTATATAAGACGCATTCCCTTCTGAGTATTTATTAGGAACCTCAGTGCATTGTACAATGATATTGATAATGGTGCTGCTATCCTTCTTGATTAGTAAGAATCTGTAAGAGAGAAGGGGTGTGACAGCTGAAATTAACTCCCTTAATCCCCAGCAGATAGCCACAAGAACTTCTGAAAAGCAGTGAGATTCAAGCAAAAAGATAGCATGGACTCTTCTCTAAATTTCTAGTGCCTCCAGAGCTCAGAAATCACAGAGAAGAAAAGGGAAGATAATTTTTTTTTTCAGAAACTGAGAATGAGATCATCAATGTAATTGAGCACTAAATTTAACTCTTGAGCTTGCTAGCAGCTATAGCAAAAAGGGACACAGTATGGGTGATACAGTTTTGCTTTTTCTGATAAAGAAAACAAACACAGCCATTCTTGACAGGAAGAAATTCTAGAAGGGATTTATTACATGGATCATGATAGGGAAGGTACTCAGTATCAAAAGGAAAACAGCAAACACAGTTCTGCTATGGCCATTTCCAACATTCCCTCACCACTAACACCAGAGCCATGGTGTTGAAATGTGACTTAGTGAAAGATGTCTCTCTGAGTGCAAAGATACTGTGGTCTGGGGTCCTTGTTTCCTTGACATCTACCTGATATGCAAATGGAGACGACAGAAAGGCAGATGATCATTAAGTCCATCTGATATTCTCCCATATACCACAGATCTCAGCACAGCCAGCCCATGATGGAACTTTCTAAGGAGTGGCTGCCCTGTGGCCTGCTGGGGAGGCTGAATGGGATCCTCGGGGAGCTGTCTTGGAAGGGAGGTGGTGGCAGTGCCCTGGGAGTGCCAGGGATATCCTGGGGGAGGCACAGTTTCGAAATGGCTAAGAAGGCTGGGATCGGCCAGAGGAGCCAATAGCCCAGCTGAAGGCTGACTGGTTCCATCAATAAGAGGAAGTGGGGAGGAAGCGTAAGTGGAAGGCGTATGTTTATAGATGTACATATGCCTATTTTGAATGTTTGGGTGAGACAGTCAAATGTGTGGGGAAGGCCCATGGGAGAGTTGCAGTGGTAAGCACATTTTATTTATTTTGTTATTGTGTAATGAGGAGAACTGTGAGAGAAAGCACTTATAATTAATATTTAGAGATGTGTGAAAGTTATATACAAGGCCAAAAAAAATGCAAACAACTGCAAAATGCATAATTTTAACATCCTAGATTACAGATATAAAATGTTTATGTAAACATTGGCATTTTTGAGTTTAGAAGAGAAGTGCATATAAATGGAAAGAATGAGCTTTAGAGTAGGACACCTGGGTTTAAACGTTGACATTCCCTCTAACTGGCTGCATGACAGTGTATGAGTTTTGTAATTTCTCTCAGTTACAATTTTTTCATCTGCAAAATAGGAATGATAATACATACCTTAAAGTATTATTGTGGAGGGTTAAATGAGATATCATTTACAAATGAGATATCACTTTTCAGTAAGCTGTACTGAGTCTACAAGAACTAGATACTCCTCTAGCTCTTACATTGCCCACTAGGTGCACACAGGTGGCACTTCATAAGTGCTCAGTTTATTTCCCTTTCTCTTAATAAACGTTCATTCTCTTTCTCTTGAATTTCACGAAAGGCTCAATCTCATTCGTATATTGGAATACAGCCACAAAGTAGCTCCTTCATCATGCTATGGGTACCAACAGGGTCTTAACAAGGGGCACTGAAGCCAAGTGGCCGTCCAGTGTGGGGAAGCCAGGATGGAAGCTGATCATCGGCACTGGGATGATAATGGTAAAGGCACAGACAAGTTGGGGTGTGGAGAAGCAAAGTGCCTTTGATAAGTGAATGCCCAGACATAGCACAGTAGGGGCCACTTGCAAGGACTCCTTGGGGAAGCCCTAGTTCTTATCAACCTACACGCTTCCATTCACTATGTAAAAAGGAGAGACAGATACTCTTCACCCTGGACTTCAGCTTAAATCTTGCTGCTGCTTACTAGCTGTCCAAACTTGGACATATTCTAACTCTTTCCTGAGATCCTCGTTGAGTGCAGATTTCCTGGGATCCTATTCCAGATTTACTGAACCTTTGGTGTAGGCCCAATAATCTGCATTTTATCAAGGTCCAAATGCACAACAAATTGTGGGAATGATTGCTCTAAACCTTGGTATTATGAATTATAAGCACGTAGGCCCTAAAATAGTTGAGATTATTAATAAATGTATTAGTAATTAAATTTTTTTCCTTCCCAGTTGTTAAATTAATTGATTATATATGTCAGTAAGGAAAAAAAAAAGGCTTAGGAATAGCTTCCCAAGGGGTCTCTAAAGATTATAAAAGACAGGAAAATGGGATTCCATAGCCCTGAGATTTTCTAGGGTCATCAGAGCTTGACGGAGGTATCCAAGGCTCAGGGGAATTAGCTGAAAGCTTTCCAGAACACAACAGACCAGCAAAAGTGCCGTTTGTTCAGTCAATAATGAAGGTGGAG